CATCTCTGCGTTATTCGGTCCCCGTGCGCGCCGCGATGCGAAAAAATCGGACGCCGTGTCACCGGTACCGGTACCGGTCCCCATTCTCCATTTGCATACCCTGTCTTTTGACGAACTGGCAACCGAGCGCAAGATCGATTACATGACCGAAACGGACGAAATGGGAGGTTTCTGTTACGAGCACCTGAGTGCGCTGCAGACAGTCAAAGTTGGGAAGGATACACAGGTTGTCGAGACTGCAGCGACCGCAGTGAGACAGGGAAAAGTCCACATAGCACACGAGACGTCTGTTGGGGCCATTTCACGTCTCTCTGAGACTCATTATGGTGCAAAGCCAGTATTCATGGGCCCGTCGTGCAAGAAGGGGAGCTGGAAAGATCTTCTTCGACAAATGGAGACCGCTGTCGAAGCATGGAAGCGCTCGCCGCATGGAGAACGATTGCATGGGCCAATCAAGTCAGTCTCATGCGACGGCTGTCCAAAACGTCGCGCGGCGTTGTTTGTGATGTGCATGCATAGTGAAATCCTCCCGGGAAACCCGCTCTACCAGTTTATATGTAACCTCCCCGGCCTCAATCGACGGGTCGGAAAAGACAATCTGACCAGTGATCCTGATTGGAAACATCTCGACAAACGTGAATATGTTTTCTTGATCCGTGTCCGCATGTTTTAACTGTGTATTTAGGTTTTTGCACATGTCTGTGCTCACCCGAGGGCATAGTCGTCAAGAATGTCTGCATTAGCCGTGATCTTCTTCTGCCATGGCTCGAACGATTGCCTAACAATGATTGGTCGGAAACAACGATCCATGCATTGCTTGATCCCTCGGATGCTCAAGACGTTCCTCGAGCAATCAAACTTATGCTCAGTATCGTCGAAATCGGAGACCTAGACCCAGAAGAATTTGATCCGAGCGAGGCAGCAGAATTTGAAGCTATTTGTCTTCTTGGAGAGGTTTTCGACGCCTTGATTCAACCTTTTATCAACACGGAGCTCTCCCTATCGGAGCAAATTGAATCTCTTATCAAGGCTTCACATCTCCTGTGTGCCTTATACCTTCAGAACGGCACTTCATTTCTACCAAACCAACTTTACGCTGATGTTCAGGCTATGATAAAAAATGCGATCCTAATGGTTCCAAAAACACGAGTCATCAATGGACAGCTCAAAGTCTTCATCTGTCTCCTTGGAGACGATGTCCTCGAAGCACTTTTTGGCCGATCCCGGATGATTGGCGGACACTCGCCCAATTCTAGCGTCGGCGAGCTCCGGGATCGTTTTTGCTCAGCCATGAATCTTGATTCTATTTACCAAGAGCATCCCGAACTTGAACGCAAACCACGCCGCCTAAATGTCTTTCGGATGCGACATGTTGATCACCTTCGCCCACAACATTTTACACGCGAACTTCGCGCAGACAGTTGTGATCTGGAGGTTTGTTGGTCAAGGGCAGTGCGCACGGTAGAACTGATTCTGGAGAAGTTCGGAGTCCGAATGGCGGTACCATTTGGAATACTATTCAAGAAAAAAGACACCGACCTTTTACGCCCGTTCGGTGGCAAATACCCCGCAATCTCTACTGAAGTTGACCGTTCAATGGTCAATGCTTCATCCAACATCGACGTAGTGATAGATCCGGAGACGGCGAATCTCTCCGACCTACTGAACAGCGATGATTTCGATGTCATGATTGCCCGCGAGACAGCGCAACAATCTGTGCAGCCTCATTCGCTTTTTGCCGAGATTGACTATGATGGTAATCTCAGCCACAAAAAGACGATTGTTCGTACCTTTTTCGACATGACACAGGATATCCATGGCAGCCACGACCGTCTCCAACGAATTCGAGGATTCAAGATAGGTGGGAAGGCTTGGACTCGCGATGATAAAGAAACGGGTGGAACCGTATCTGTTTCCACGCATTTCCAGCTGGGCAATTTATTCGCAACACTAATCTGCTATGATGGATCACATCTTGCACTCGCAATTGCCAAATCCACCCTCATCAAGAGGGTGTCGGCTGGATCCAAATCCGCTTCCGTCTCGGCTGTTCCACGAGCAGAACTGGAGCTCCCGGCTTCCCCATACACAATCTCTGGCCAGGTATTCTCTCTTATTCCGATTTCTCAAGGTGGTGGTGCGGCACAGTGGGTATGGGATGGGAAATTTATCCCATTCTCCTTGAGAAAAAAGCAGAAGGCTACCAGTGAAGAGGTCTCGCATTTGCGCAATCTCCAATTTTCGATTACTAGCCGTCTTATTGACCCTATTCATGAGCGGGCACATGAAATTTCAGCTTTAGATATTAAACTTCAACTTCCGGGTGACCGTGATAATACCTGGGCTTTCTCTGACGACACTCTTCTTTCATCTTGGTCCAAGCTATGGAACCGATTGCTTGCTGACAGCACTCCACGATAAATTCCCAAGGTTCACAGGTGTCTCCGATGGAGTTTTTCCCTACCATATTGCAGCCTCGACAGGTAAGTCTATTCATTTGTGACTTGATTGCGATGCGATGATCCCTTCAGAATTCCGAGGCATTATTTATGCATCCCCCATTGCCAACACAGCTATTGAGCAATCCAACGTTGACCGTCATGCATGTAGAATTTGTCATAAACCCGTGAAAGAGACAGATCGACAAAACCACATCGGCCATCATATCATGAAGTTTCTTCGAGGAGTGCCCGATACATCAGCCAAGGTAGCGGTATGTAATTCGAGTCAAATTCTTGGATGCCGTCCGTGACAAGTATCCAGGTCTCAACAAAGTATCCTTGCGGTACTTGTGGTGGGCCTACAGTCCACGGGGCTTGCAAAATCGGAATCAAGGGGGGGAAATCCGAGTCGGATTGCCCGTCCACTTACCCATTTCTGATCTCGGCTGCCGCCAAGTTCCTGCCAACACGACCATGCACAAATATACCAATCCGTTGCCCGCTAGACTGCAACGAGATACACTGGAAGTACAACTTTCCAAAGCATCTTGAGGAACGACATCCTTCATGGGAGGCTCGCATCCCCTCCAGTTTCATCCCCCAAATTCAAATTACACGAACCGAGCAACTTGCACTCCAAATTCCGGCCAACAAAATTCTTGACTGGCCATCGGTACCACCATCGAGTCCGAGGCAGGGGAATAAACGTTCTGCATCATGGATACATGACTCACCGAGTCGTCGTGACAAAGAAAATCAAGTTCCAGCCAGTGATGTCCGGGCATACAAGACGATGCGGCTGAATTAATATTATTTTACGACTGCCAATCTACTAATTATTCATTTTTATCGTTCTAAAGTAGATTACCAATGTTCCTCATTTTAATTTGGGTTTTACAACGAGTTTGTAGTCCGTTATCCTATACATGAAAGCACGATGAGCACAGCCTTTGACAGAAAGTCATGTGAAAAGTCATGTAGAAAGTCACCTGAAAATTCACGTGATGCTGTCGAGATGTTGTTGCCGGCTGTCGAGATGTTGGCCCCTGGTCCCACGGCTCGGAATTCGCCGTGCGCGGGCCGATTTCTGATCAACCACCGCAACCTGCAGGATTGGATGAATACTCCTGCCCTCACTTCACCCTACACTGTCCCAGGTGAGTACACATCTCATGAAGCAGTCCTTTTTATATTAAATTTCCCTTCCCAATTACTCAGTTTGTCTCAAGCTGCTTTTGCCCCTATCTGCCAAATTTAATCAAATCTTCGGATTTTGTGCATATTTCTCTTGCTGTTCACCTCTGCTTTTCTAGGGGTTTTCTCCAGCCACTTCTCAATAAATATGCAAGCTTTATTTCAACTTTCTTTCAACTTATTATGTATTATCTACATTCTCAAAGACAGGAACATGAAAACTATACTCTTGAAAGCCCACACTTAATAGCAGAAATAATTGTCTTTCACCCTGTAATACACCATATCTCAATAAGATCTAGCAGTGTTTTCCCCTCAGATCCTCTTTCCAAGTTGAAAGTTGGATGTCCAATCATGGTCCTCCAAAACTTGGACTCTGCAAATGGTCTTTGCAATGGTTCTCGAGGGATTCTTACCCAAATGTCACCTCACATCTTGGAGATCAGGCTCATTGGGGGAGAACACGATGGCACAACAGCATTTATCCCCTGCATCACAATTATTCCCTCTGCAGAGCAGCTTTCCTTGGCTATGAAACGACGTCGGATTGGGTCATGGTTGCATTTTCAGTACTATGTGAGATATAAAATATGTAGAGGGGTGGGAAAAATGGCTACTCTGAGCCCGCAATGCTCCTGGATGGGAAGAGTCTCAGCAGCCCAAACAGAAGCACTCGCGAGTGACCAGCCAACTCCCTGTTTGTCTGGCATTTTCAATGACAATAAACAAAGCCCAGGGCCAGTCTGTGGACCATGTTGGCCTGGACCTGCACACAGATGTGTTTGCTCATGGAAAGCTTTACGTTGCACTCTCTAGGTGCACATCCAGCCAGTTGATTCGGGTGCTGTTCAAGCAAGACCTCAATTCTACTGTCACAAAAAATATTGTATGCCCAGAGGTGCTGCTTTAATTTGTTTGTAAGTCTTATGAAGCCCTATCAATTTTATGAATGATGCACAGTATATTTATCAATGCTCAGTAGTTATCATTACTTTATTGTATCCTGTTGATAAAATTTTCATATTTGATTTACACTTTCCTACTGAAATGCAGAGCCCCTCCCCCCGGGGTTTGGGGCGGAGCCCCAACAAGCTGTCGACCCGCCGAAGGGACGGACGCGAGTGCAGCGAGTCGGCCGTGCCGAAGGCACGGGTCGTAAAGCTTGTTCAAGTTAACAAGCAAGTTTGCGTGCTGACTCCAAAAGGGGAACGTCTCGCCAATCACAAAATCACGTGTGTTCATCAGTCCCACCGATTCAAGATCTCGGAACCTCTTGACGTCCCCCGTATGAGTGTCCCCGCAGCGCCACGTCGGATTTTACGCCCGTCAGGGAAAAAAAAGGGAGATACAAAGTTCTGAATTATATGCGGACGCGGGGAGTCGAACCCCGTCTGGCTGCTTCACACGCAAGTGCACAGCTCTTATGTATAACAGCGGTGCACCGTGCACTACGTCCGCTTCTTGGTCCTGTTTTCATGGTTTACAAGTCAGGTAGATTTTTTCTGGCCCCTGGGCTAGCTGTATCATGTCGATTGAAACGGAATGATGCGTAGGTACTCTAGGTAAAAAAGAAATGACGACCTCACAATTTATGCGGATGCAGGAAGTCGAACCACGCTTGTCCTCTTTTATTGTCGGAGGCACTCACATTAAAATGAAAACGACGCGAAAGCTGACCCGGGGTAGACCCAAAAAGAGCTTGGAAAAATCATAATGCGGACGCGGGGAGTCGAACCCCGTCTGACTGTTTCACATTGTGAATGCCACCTATGCATGGCAGCCGTGCGCCGTGCACCACGTCCGCTTGCTGACCTTGTTACTCTGGTTTATAAGTCAGTTAGATTTTTTTTGAAAGAAGTAATGTATTGAACTATTGAACTCTCACGGCTGGGCTGCTCGATACACAAGGCAAATTAAATCATCGACATTCAAAGACCGCCTGTCCGCTTTTCTTGTCGGAGGTACGTACGTTAAGATGACTGCGAAACGAAGGGCGGGGGTCAAAAAGAGTCAAGCATAATCATCATGCGGACGCAGGGAGTCGAACCCTGGCTGCTTCACACGCCGGTGCACAACTCTTATGTATAACAACAGTGCACCGTGCACCACGTCCGCTTCTTGGCCTTGTTTCTCTGGCTTTCAACCCAGATAGAATTTTAAAGAATTCAAGAAGAATTAAACTCGTCAAACTCTCACGACTGGGCTGCTCGATACAGAAGACAGATTAAACCATTATCATTTAAAGATGCTGCTCTCTCTCCTCCTTTCTTGCGGGAGGTATCCACATTAAAATGAAAACGACGCGAAAGGGTAGACCCAAAAAGACATACAAAGCAGGATCATCATGCGGACACGGGGAGTCGAACCCCGCCTGACTGCTTCACAAGTTTCCTCGTATACATGGCAGTGGTGCACCGTGCACCACGTCCGCCTACTGGCCTTGTTACTCTGGTTTGCAAGTCAGATATATTTTTAAAGAACTCAAGAATTGAAGTTGTCGAACTCTCACGGGTGGGCGGCTCGATCCAGAGGGCGGATTAAACCATTGACATTTAAAGATACTGCGGTCATGGTCACCACGTCCACTCTCTCTCCTCTTTCCTTGTCGGAGGTACGCACGTTAAAATGAAAACGAAACGAAAGGCGGGTAGACCCAAAAAGAGATCAGTAGAATCATCATGCGGACGCGGGGAGTCGAACCCCGCCTGACTGCTTCACACGCGACTGCACAGCTCTTATGTATAACAGCGGTGACCACGTCCGCTTCCTGGCTTTATTGGGCTGGCTTGCAAGACTAAGCAATTCCGAGATATACCATAGATTTTGTTGGAGTTTGTGTGAATAAATGAGAACGAAGTTGAACTGACACGTATGGGAGAAGTCTGTTTGATACGACAGCACCGCATGCGTTCAAGGACGTTGTTAAAACGAGTAAAAAATATTGCTGAACGTTCAAAGACGCTGCCGCCCTAATAAGTAAAAAAAACTGGCAAAGTGTAGACCAGTGCAGACGTAGGGAGTCGAACCCCCGTCTGACTACTTCACATTGCGAAAGAGTAGTCACGCGCCGTGCACTACGTCCGCTTACGACCCTTTTTTCTCGCGTTGCGAAGTGAACATTCAGATGGATGCTTTTTTTTTTTTGTATAAGCAACAGCAAAAGTCGAACTGTCAGGTGGATGGTAGCGATGCGCTTTTTAAATTTTATGCTTTGCGAGCGACTGAAGAAGTCGTGGAGAAATCTGGTTCGATACGATGCACTGACTTGCAACTGTTCAAACCGTGGATCGTTATTGATATCCAAGGACGCTATAGCCGGGGTAAGAGAATGTGGAATTAAGAACGAAGTTGAAGCTGAACTGGCACGTAGGTGGAGGAATGTGTTCGACGATACAACATAGGACCCCGTGTGTCCCAGGACATTGTTGAAGTAAAAATAGAGGCAGACATGAAAGCAAACAAACTACATAACATGACATGCGGATGCAGGGAGTCGAACCCCGTCTGGGTGCTTCACGGTATATAAGCGAACCCTACTTATGCATGGCAGCCGTGCCCCACGTCCGCTTCCTGGCCTTGTCTCTAGGTTCTCAGTCAGGTACCGCGGATTTTTTTGAGAAGAAAATGTCTAGATATGGATTGTGGTGATACAAATGCCGTGGCATTGTTATATACAAAACGAAGTAGGAAAGAGAGAAATAGAGATTGGCCGGATATTCCCCTTGGCTCCCTGACCCGCGAGCACCGGTGGAGATGTTAATACATGTTGTATAAAGGTACATTAAATAGAGAGACGTTAAAATCAGGGGCCGGCCAAAAAAACGGTGAAGCGTGAATAAAATACGACCCGGGAGAGGTCAAATGCGAGCGTATTCTATGCGACCCGATGAGTTTCACTTTCATACAATGAGGCGAAACACAGGTAGAGGCACTCACGGTCGCAGCAGAAACCTTCCCGATATCTACGTGGGTTTGAGCTTGTTGAGTTGCGAGTTGTATTTGTTGCACGGTCAGCTGCGTCTGTTGCACCGTGAGAGTGTTCTATATGGACCCAATAAGTTCACCGTTTATTTAAAGAATCGGAAACAGAGGTATAGGGACACACGGTCGCAGTAGAAACCTTCCCGACGTCTATGTGGGTTTGAGCTTGTTGAGCTGCGAGTTGTGTTTGCTGCACGGTGAGCTGCGCTTGCTGCACCGTGAGATGCGCCTGTTGCGCGGCGATGCGTGCCTGTTGCTCCTCGAGATGTGCCTGTTGCACCTCGAGTCGCAGCGCAGAGGCAGCCTGCTGCGCGGCGATGCGCGCCTGTTGCCCCTCGAGATGTGCCTGTTGCGCTTCGATTCGCAGCGCGGAGGCAGTCTGAAATTAGAATGATATTGAGGACAGTAATCGGGTTTAAAGAATATTCAAGACGCACCAAGAGGTCGCGATACGCGTCGTCGAGCTTGGCCTTAATATCCTGCAGCGTATGTTCGTTGCGGTTGAGGTGCACCACACGCGAGTCGCCGCCGGTCAGCGCGATTTCCTTCATACTTTCTCGGATTTTGACGAGGAGCCTAGCACAAGTATCAAACTCTGCTCCGTACGAGGCGCGGAATACATGAACGCACGCGTTGAAACGCTCGATACTCTTACGCATCGGCTGGGGGATGGCTGGGGCGGGACCGACTGCAGCCGCGATGACGTCGAAGATTTCCTTCGTCCGCAATGCGATGGCGCGGGCATCGGACTTGGAATGCTTCGCGCGCTAAATGAATGTGCACCAGATTAGCTTCGTTTGACGCAGACTCTGCGGGGAAATCTACTGACCTCGGCAATTTCCAAAAGCGCGATGACGCCTCCTACAGTGCTCTTGAGAGGCGGGAACGCATCCGCGGATTCCTTCAGAGCGGTGATGGCTGTCCAGAGTACGTCGGGGAGGGCGCTGGTGGTTGGGGTGTTCGGCTTGGGGCTGGCGCGCGAGGACTTCCGCTTTGCCCGTGAAGGGAAGAGGAACCGCATGGGACCTGGGGAACATCGTACGGATGTGCTGGGCTTATAAGGTGCGAGAAGGCTGTGTATACAGCAGTTCGGATATTTTTGACTCTACGAATGAATGAGAACGTAAGAACGTTTGTCTGTCTTTGCAAATACCGCTCTGAAAGGGCGTCAATCTGCCAGTCTGTGCCCCCGTGGCTGATGTTTGCGCATGGAATTTCACTAGTCGAGATGATGCATCCGGAGGCGGCGCAAGAGATATGGGAAATCAGCACGTCCGATGGAAACTCTAACAATAAAAGCCTGTCGACTCACATAGAAGGCTTATTTATCACAGCACTCGACTCGGAATGGTCGTGTCTTGTCTTGTTGTTGGGGAAAGGGCTTATTTGTGATCTGTGGACTGGACCAGGCGTAAACGAGGAAACGCGGATAGAGAGGTGTAAGCGGTGCGGCGAGTTTGACGCTGTTGTGTCACGTATCCCGTAATTTGAGCCGCTTCGCCCTTGGCAACATCAGCTGGCGCACGCCTCCCCCACTATGACATTTCCTAAAAAGGAAATTAGCGCCTCCGGGCGCCATCTGAGCAGTAACGAACGGTGTATGGTATTGGTAGTATAGTCTAGGGGTTATGCTGCGAGGTCTTCGTTAAGTAAGCGTGCAGCGTGCGGGTTCGACTGCAGTTGGTCGCAATTTGTATTTCGATTTCCTTCACACTTTATTTTGCGTTTTTTGCTAGCGCCACCTCAAATGCGGCGGGGTAAGTACAGTCGACGTCCACGTTTTTTTCAAAGCGCAAATGTGCCGCAGACGCACTATATGTTTTCCCCCTTACATCTGTTATAAAACTGTAAAGATAATACATTCAGATGGGAAAAAATAATATAACAGTAGATAAAAAGACCCCCGCGACGAGTGAAAGCCCTTGCGGGCAGATAAAATGGGTGGCTCGGGCCCCCTGTGTCTCCCGTGCGCGCGTAGAACTCAGAATCATCAAAAGAAAATGCATTGAGGAGGAAATTGAATTTAACAATTAACAATGACATCAGATGGGAGGAAATACCCCTGTAGAATAATGCACTACCAATCCAGGCTTTTTCTGGTGAACTAAAAACCTAGGGAGACAAAGGGGATTGCAGGTTAGAGTGTCGCGTCGACGCGTCGAAGTACACGTGATGGGAATGGATCACGTGTCTGTCATAGTGGGGGAGGCGAAGGGGTTTTGGCAACATCCGCCGCCTTGTGCGACCGCCCGCTCGACGACTCGGACGACTTCTCCTCCACGCGCGGCCGCGAGCCCGCCGTCGCGCGTTTCGCCCCCGAGGACCACCCGCGCTCCACCGGCCGCGGCGGCGCAGGCAATTTCCGCTCCCCTCGCGCGACCCCGCCGACGACAAGGACGTGCGCTCCGCCGCCGAGCGCGAGATGCTGAAGCTGGATGCGGAGTGCGAGCGCGATGTCGTATGTCGTGCACTCGACGGGCCGCGGTGGCCTGGGGAACATGAGCCGCTCGCGCTCGCGCGGTGGGTCGCCGCTTGCGTCGCCGTCGCCGTCGCGCAATGACTCCAATACCACCGCGGTGCACCCACAAGTGTACTCGAGCGGCCGCGGCGGCGCGGGCAACATTGCACCAGGCCCTGTGTCTGCGTACGAGCGCGGGCGGACGGGTGCCGTTGAGGGGATGTGCGTGCTCTTTGCCTCGTTCTCTATTATGTTCCTAACACATCTTTTCCGTTATGTAGTCACTCAACCGGCCGCGGCGGCCTCGCCAACCTCACATCCGCCCCCATCCCCCGCAGGACGCGCCCCTGCACGTCCTCGGCACGTACGAGAGCACGGGCCGCGGCGGCGTCGGCAATATGTCCCGCTCAAGGGAGCGGGGGTCCGTTGAGAGGACTTCTGCAGAGCGCGCGTCGGGAGAGGGCTCACGCGAGCGGGGGAGAAGGGCGGGATCGCGGGGCTGTGGAACCGGATGCACCCGCACCCCCATGCGCCCACGCCGCCGCCCCATGGGCAGCCGGAGATGATATTGGAGGGGTGAGCGTTGCGCTTGTGGGTTGGCGCTCTATGTGACGCCATAAGCTACTCGGCGATTCAAGACCAAGGACGATCACGGCGAGACGGAGACCCAGACCCGAGATCCAGACACGCTCTACTTGCATTAGCCGCAAGAACCGACGGACGGACAAGAAAAAGACCTGCTGTATATGTTCACCCACCTATTTCCAGTGTTGTCTGAGGCCAGGCCGAGAGTCAAAAAGGTCTGACCCATTTGACCCTTTGACCGGGGTCTGACCGGGTCTGACCCTCGGCCTGACCCTTTCCAAATTTGGAAAAGCCCTTCGCTACAGCTGCTAAGGGTCGTGTGCAATGTTAGCGAGCCTTACCCAACCGCTATCCGATGTTCTGAGTGGTCAGGACGAATATCTCCTGCCTACAGTATCAATTTTGAAAGGTTGTCAGATTTACCGGTATGGAAAACTGCTATGTGAACAACAGGGCATCCCCATATCCAAATGTACCCCGAATGGCCTGTGAAATAATTCATAGGGATACCGATGTCAGATCATGAATTAATGTAACATGTGTATGGCCTAAAACTGCAGCGGGACGGTCAGAATTCAAAATTGGTCAAAGGAATCAATGTTGTCTTTGCAATGAGAAATGTGGCATAATCTGGCGATGCACAGCAAAAAAAACCATCTGTTCAATTGTACTCACACCTACACGCCCGAAGGTGACTTTGAACATCCAAAGAATGACGCGAAGAGCTTCAAAGTAAGTTCAAACACGGTCATGGCCAGGGTGGGATAAATATTTTTCCGAATGGGTTCGTATTATAGGACGCTTGGCACAATATCGACTGATATATCCATTCTCTTAATGATCCGATTTTTCTCTGATTTTTCCGGTGGTTCTACGAGTTTAAAACGGGTATTCCAAAAAAGGAAATCCGGCCTTGACGAATCGGTCAAAGGCCGGTCAAAGGGTCTTGACGCACGGTCAGACCCCGTCAGACCCGGTCAAAGACAACACTGCCTATTTCTGACTGATTTATGTATTCGTTGACTTGTGTTGTGCTTTTATTCCAATCATCTTACGACTTACAGTTGCTCGCTACCTATGTATCCGCGTACAACACACAGGCTACAATTTGTATCTTACCTTTGCCTTCGCATCTCTTTTGACTGCGTATATCGTACTTGTATCGTATCTTTCTACCGGGTATAGTGTACGAGCTCCAGATCTCCTTGCATTTTATCCCACTCATTTTCGATTGCGCACCGATAGTACCCCCAGTATGAGTGTCCCCGCAGCGCCACGTCAGATTTTACGTCCGTCTGGGGGAAAAAAGAGATACAAAGGTTTGACTGTATGCGGACGCGGGGAGTCGAACCCCGTCTGGCTGCTTCACACGCCAGTGCACAGCTCTTATGTATAACAGCGGTGCACCGTGCACCACGTCCGCTTACTGGACTTATTTCTCTCCTCTGACTTGGGAGTCAGGTGTTTTTTTTCTGGTCGTAAAGGAACCGAAACGATGGGTGGGACTGTAGGTAAAAACGAACGACAACCTAACCACCCATGCGGACGCGGGGAGTCGAACCCCGTCTAGCTGCTTGACATCGCGATAATGAGCCTAATATGCATGGCAGCGATGCGCCGTGCACCACGTCCGCTTGCTGACCTTGTTACTCTGGTTTATAAGTCAGTTAGATTTTTTTTGAAAGAAGTAATGTATTGAACTATTGAACTCTCACGGCTGGGCTGCTCGATACACAAGGCAGATTAAATCATCGACATTCAAAGACCGCCTGTCCGCTTTTCTTGTCGGAGGTACGTACGCTGAGATGACCGCGAAACGAAGGGCGGGGGTCAAAAAGAGTCAAGCATAATCATCATGCGGACGCAGGGAGTCGAACCCTGGCTGCTTCACACGCCGGTGCACAACTCTTATGTATAACAACAGTGCACCGTGCACCACGTCCGCTTCTTGGCCTTGTTTCTCTGGCTTTCAACCCAGATGGATTTTTAAAGAACTCAAGAAGAATTAAACTCGTCAAACTCTCACGACTGGGCTGCTCGATACAGAAGACAGATTAAACCATTATCATTTAAAGATGCTGCTCTCTCTCCTCCTTTCTTGCGGGAGGTATCCACATTAAAATGAAAACGACGCGAAAGGGTAGACCCAAAAAGACATACACAGCAGGATCATCATGCGGACACGGGGAGTCGAACCCCGCCTGACTGCTTCACACTTAGAGACAAGTTTCCTCATATACATGGCAGTGGTGCACCGTGCACTACATCCGCTTTTTGGCCTTTTTTTTCTGGTTTGCAAGTCAGAATAGATTTTTAAAGAACTCAAGAAGAATTGAACTTCACGGCTGGGCTGCTCGATCCAGAAGGCGGATTAAACCGATTAAGCATTGCCATTCAAATACACTGCGGTCATGGTCACCACGTCCGCTCTCTCCTTTCTTGGCGGAGGTACGCACGTTAAAATGAAAACGAAACGAAAGGCGGGTAGACCCAAAAAGAGATTGGCATAACTATGATGCGGACGCGGGGAGTCGAACCCCGTCTGGCTGCTTCACACGCGACTGCACAGCTTATGTATAACAGCGGTGCACCGTGCACTACATCCGCTTGTTGGGTTTGTTTCTCTGAGTGTAATTTGCAGCTTGTTTTTGAAGAAGTAATATATTTGAACTTGTCAAACTCCCACGGCTGGGCCGCTCGATACACAAGACAGATTGAACTATCGACATTCAAAGACCGCCTGTCCTCTCTTCTTATCCGAGGTACGTACGTCAAAATGAAAACGATGCGAAACTGGCCCGGGGTAGACCAAAAAGACATACAAAGTAGGATCATCATGCGGACGCGGGGAGTCGAGCGCCGTCTGGCCGCTTAGCATCATTGAATTCGGATATGCATGGCAGCAGCGTGCACTACGTCCACTTCTTGGTGTTGTCATTCTCAGATAGATTTTTAAAGAACTCAAGAAGAATTGAACTTCACGGCTAGGCTGCTCGATACCAAAAGCAGATTAAACCATTGTCATTCAAAGACCGCCTGTCTTCTTTCCTTATCGGAGGTACGTACGTTAAGATGAACGCGAAACGAAGGGCGGGGGTCAAAAAGAGTCAAGCATGCTCATCATGCGGACGCGGGGAGTCGAACCCGTCTGGCTGCTTCACACTATTTGACAACCAACTACGCATAGCAGCGGTGCTCCGTGGACTACGTCTGCTCCATATCCTTGTTAGTCTGGTTTATAAGCCAGGTAAATTTTTTCTGACCCAACTGCATCTAGGTAAATTGCAACGCCAATGTGTACCACGTCCCGGGACGTCCGAGGGGACACTGTTCAAACCGTATTGGTAGTGTTCAAAGACGCTACGGTCAGGGTAAGTAAAAAAAGGGATCAGGATCCTATCGATCGTTAGTAAAAAGAAGATTGTGTCTAATGCGGGCGCGGGGAGTCGAACCCCCTCTGACTGCTTCACATTGGTGAATTCCAATTATGCATGGCAGCGGTGCGCCGTGCACTACGTCTGCTTGCTGGTCTTGTTTTCCTGGCCTGTAAATCAGGTCATTTTTCAGGCCCAGTTTTGCGTCAATGGGCCGAAATAATGGGTGATAAATCTCTTCAGCGTGTACCACGTTTGCCCAAGGACTCTGTTGAGCTGTTCAAGGCATGGATTATATTGATACATATTCAAAACAGACTGCGGCCAGGTTAGTTATGTAAAAACAAATGAAAGCTAGATCCTCTTCCACACAGACGCCGGGAGTCGAACCCCGTCTGGCTGTTTAACATTGTGGTTAGAATGATGCATGGCGGCCGTGCACCGTACGATACGTCCGCTTCTTGGCCTTGTTTCTCTGGCTTTCAACCCAGATAGATTTTTAAAGAACTCAAGAAGAATTAAACTCGTCAAACTCTTAGGGCTGGGTCGCTCGATACAGAAGGCGGATTAAACCCATTGGCATTCAAAGATACTGCGATCATGGTCACCATGTCCACTCTCTCTATTCTTTTCTTGTTGGGGGTGCGTACGTCAAAGTGAACACGAAACGAAGGGCGGGCAGGTTAAAAAGACCTAGTCAGGATCATCATGCGGACGCGGGGAGTCGAATCCCGTCTGGGTGCACCGTGCACTACGTCCGCTTTTGGTTTTCTGGTTCCCAAGTGAGCAAGTCAAGTAACAGATTTCTTTCTATGAGGAGCAGCAAACTCGAACTCGAACTCTCACGGATGAGCTGCTCGATCCAGAAGGCGGATTGAACCATTGTCATTCAAAGACCGCTGTTCTCTTTTCTTGTCAGAGGTACGTATCTTAAAGTTAAAACGAAACGAAAGCCGGGTAGATCCAAAAAAGACATTCCAAGAATCATCATGCGGACGCGGGGAGTCGAACCCGTTCGGCTGCTTCACCCGCGAGGGCACAGCTCTTATGTATAACAGTGGTGCACCGTGCACCATGTCCGCTTCTTGGCTTTGTTTCTTTGGGTTTCAATCCAGATAAAATTTTGAGTAAACTCGTCATTGAACTCTCACGGTTGGGCCGCTCGACACGCAAGGCAGATTAAATCATCGATATTCAAAGATGCCGCTCTCTCTCCTCCTTTCATGCGGGAGGTATCCACATCAAAGATGAAAACGACGCGAAAGCTGGCCCGGGGTAGACCCAAAAAAGATTTTGGCAAGGTCCTGTGCCACGCGGACGCGGGGAGTCGAACCCCGTCTGGCTGCTTAGTGCTATGTATGAGTATCACTCTCATAATGAATGACAGCGGTGCGCCCCGCAGTACGTCCGCTTCTTGGTCTTGTGTCTCTGGTTTATAAGCCAGGTAGTTTTTCAGGCCCATTTTCGCGTCAAAGGGGCGAAATGATGGGCTGGGAAATCTCTTCAACGTGCGGGTACCACGTCCCGGGACGTCCAAGGATGTGTTCAAACCATGAGTTATTAATGATATCCACGACCCGGATGCCACAGACAGGGGAAGGAAAGGCACAGAGAGGTGAAAAAAAAACGCAACAGGGCGCGGTCATGCAGACGCGGGGAGTCGAACCCCGTCTCGTTGCTTCAGATTGGTTAACAGAGGGTGATGTTAGCCGTGCGCCGTGCACTACCGCTTGGTGGCCGCGTTTTCTACCATCCCACTTAGGTATCGTGGATTTTTTTTGAGAAGGAAAAATGGCTAGATATAGACTGTGGTTTGTTGTATGATAAAAATGCTGTGCCAGTGTTACATACAAAACGAAAGTAGGAAAGAGAGAAATAGAGATTGGCCGGATATGCCCCCTGGCTTGCTGGCCCGCAAGCAGTCGGTGTGGTATGAGGGTTGCATGGGTGCATGTGGACTTTTTTCTTCTTCTTTTTTGATTTTTTCCTTTTTTTCATCTTACGGGGTTATCTATACTTAGGCAGTTGTATCAGGGGCCGGCCAAAAAAACGGTGAATCGGGAATAAAATAAAACCCGGGAGAGGTCGGATGCGAGGGTGTTCTATTCGGACCCAATGAGTTGGACCTTCATTCGGCAACACAGGTAGAGGGACTCACGGTCGCAGCAGAAACCTTCCCGACGTCTATGTGGGTTTTGGATTGTTGAGTTGCGAGTTGTGTTTGCTGCATGGCGAGCTGCGTCTGTTGCACCGTGAGATGCGCCTGCTGCGCGGCGATGCGTGCCTGTTGGACCTCGAGTCGCAGCGCAGAGGCAGCCTGAAATTAGAATGATATTGAGGACAGCGATCGGGTTCAAAGAATGTACAAGGCGCACCACAAAGTCGCGATACGCGTCGTCTAGCTTGGACTGAATCTCCTGTAGCGCACGCTCATTGCGGTTTAGGTGCACAACGCGCGATACGCCGCCGCTTAGCGAGATTTTCTCCATGCTTCCTCGAATTTCGACGAGCAGCCTAGCACAAATATCAAACTCTGTTCCGTACGAGGTGCGGAACACATGAACGTACGCAGTGAAACGCTCGATACTCTTACGCATCGGCCGGGGGATGGTTGGGGCAGGACCGACTGCAGCCGCGATGACGTCGAAGATTTCCTTCGTCCGCAATGCGATGGCGCGGGCATCAGACTTGGAATGTTTCGCGCGCTACATTAATGTACACCATATCAGTTCGTTTCACGCAGCCTCTGCGGGGAGATCTACGGACCTCGGCAATTTCCAAAAGCGCGATGACACCTCCTACAGTGCTCTTGAGAGGCGGGAACGCATCTGTGGATTCCTTGAGTGCGAGCAGAGAGGTCCGGAGTATGTCGGGGAGGGCGCCGGCGGTCGGGATGTTCACCGAGGGGCTGGCGGTCGGGGGCTTGCGCTTCGCCCGTGAGGGGAAGGCGAGCCACATGGGCCGCTTGGGGGCCTCGTAATGATAACCTGCGCTTATAAGGCACGAGTAGGGCTGTGCATACAGCAGTTCAGATAAGTATATTTAGACGTCGAGCGTCTCACTTACAACTTTGGGATACAGCTCTGGTGATCAGGGCCGTAATTAATACAGTTCCCTGAATTCTAGAAAAGTCAGCTGGTGTGAACTTGAAAAGCTGCATCCAGGGACAGGTAGCCACCATTGCAGTGCCATTGCTCTACCTGGGATAATAAGCACTGCGGCTCGGTAAGTCTTATGAGCATCAAATTTATTATCGTACCAGGGTCAGGGAAGAACACATCCACAGCAAATAGGTAGCGCTGGACGCTTGGGGCAGTGTCGTCAGAACCGCAAATGATGGACCGTGCGAGAGATTGAGAATCGATAACGTTGGATAGAAGCTCCGGGCAAGCTCCAGGCGTACAGCACTTGACAGTGCGAATGGTGAGCATCAGAATTCTTGTTTCTGGATCAGGTAGTGAGGGACCGATATAGAACTGGATCCCGGGTGAAAGGCAAGTGTAGGGGTAGACTGGTCTGAGGCAGACGAGCTGGGTGGACAAAACGAGGTCACGAGAGGTGACACAATAGCGTCAAATAGGGTAAAACAAATCGCAGCGTTTTGACGGCGACGTTAAGTCCTCCGTTTTCCATGTTTTTGTTTTATTCAACGCACTCACTTTCTCCCGCCGTTGCCCCTCCTCTCGTTCCTCGTGGATGACGACCCGGACGCAGACATCCTCTGGGCTCGGCAACATCCGGCCGCCCTCCACCTCACGCGAGGCCGCGCGCCGCTCGCTTGACTCTGGGCACGACGACTTCTCCTCGACGCGCGGCCGCGAGCCCGCCGTCGCCCCCTTCGTCGTCACGGACTACCCGCGCTCCACCGGCAGCGGCGGCGCAGGCAACTTTCGCTCC